GTGATGAAAGGACCCCCCTCCCCGCCACACACACACACACACATACACACACACACACTGGAACCCAAATTCCTCAACTAGCTGTAGCTCCAGGGGGGTCTCCATTACTGCTGAGACTTCCCTGAGTCCCTGGGCCTCCAGCTGAGGGCATTTGGGGCCCCTGGTGTTCACAGCCAGTCTGTGTCTCAGAGGCTGCAGTAGAGGCTTGGAGCTAAGGGGTTCCCTGTCTTAGCCGAGATGCAGCAAGCTGAGTTGAGGGCTTCTACTCTGGGTTAGGAAATGAGGTACAAGAAGAGGAAGAGATTGCAGGTTGCTAGAACAGGCCCAAGGTCAATAGAAGCCTTGGAAAAGGGTTCATTAGAATCCATAGAGTGGTCTCTAACCCACTCTGCCCTCTGGAACCCTAGTTCCCCACTTCCCACTGGCCCCTAACCAAGGACAAGCCCAAACACAAGCTCTGTGCAAAGAAGTGGCATTTGAGAAAGTGTGTCCTTTGCTCTAGGAAGAAACATTTGCAGTCAAGTCTGTGCATGGAATTTTTATTCCTCTAATACAGCCTAGGCAGGATTTAGTACACAAGTTCTCCAGAGGAAATGCATTCAATAAAAATTTGATGGGCTCCGGCAGCTCAGCAGAATCTCCTTACGAATTCCAAGTGTTTGTTTGGTCCCTGGCTTGGCCAGGAGCTCAGCTACAGTCTGCAAATGGCTTCTTTAGTGAGGCAGCCTTTGGAGGAAGGACCCACCCCAACTCAGGAAATCACCGTAAGTTCCCTGTTTCTCTGGGCCAAGGAGTAGAGAGCTTCTAGCCTTCAACCCTGAGAAGAAGTTAAGCTCTGGGGCTCTGGGAAGCCCAGGGAACCAGGGCCCTCCTAATGAGATGAGGACCCTGGGCACTGGATGGGGAGCATCCCTGTGAAGATAAGAGGTCAATTAGGGAATTAAAATGAATTTACTACAGTTAGTGGGGGAGTGTAATAAATTTCCAGTTATTCTCCTCTCACACCTCTCTCTGCTCAGCACACAAAAGGAGTTCCTTTCAAGGGCTGAGAGAGGCCCGTGGCCCCTGCCCTGCAGCCTGAGGGTCACACTGAGTACAGATGGGCTCCGAGGGAGCCGCATCCATTCACCTCTCCATTCTCACTCTGGGCCCAACTCAGAGAGCAAGTTCATCAGCATCAGGTAGGCTGAGGAGGGGTGATGTATGCCCCATGGGATGGAGGAGCCTGCTGATTACTGCCCCCTCCCCTCCCTGCAGCCTCCTACAACTCCAGCTCATTGGGAAACCCCAAGCAAAACTTCTAATAGCCCTGGCCTTCATCTCGACAAAACAGTGTCCAATTATCAGAAGATGCTCCCCGGGCTCTGCTGTAGCCTGCAGGCCAGGCTGCAGACTGAGAGCGAATGTCCCTAGAAAATGCAGATGGAGGGGCCAGACAGTGGCACAGCTGTAGAACAGGACATGAGGCTGTCCCACACGGGAAGAGTCCAGGTTCGTGTCCAGAGACCTCCCTGAGTATGCCAGCTGCCCCGTGTGCCCATAATCTTGTCTGACTGAAGCTGGAGGTTGATGGCAGTGTTGGGACCCTTTGGGGATGTCACTCTGTCTCTCATTCATGGAAGAAATGAACTTTACAATATCAAGGTAATAAAGAAAAAAACTATAGATGGACAAGGAGGACCAGGAACCAAACAAAGGGTGTGCTCACAAATGGCTTCCAAATCCAGTGCATTGTGATTTCCTGACAGCGACATTCCTGTGTCCTTCAGAAATACTGCCAGCCCGGGGAGAGCCCCAGGAGTCAGCCTGGATCTCTTTGGGGCCAGGTGTGTACCTTGCAAAGGGTGAAGCCTCTGCCCTCACCCACTGCTTCCAGTGAGCAGATGAGGAGGAAAGTTGGTAAAGGAGACCCAGGTGTGGGCCTAACAACTGGGTGGCCCCCAGAGGAACATGACTTGCCTTTGCCCATTTACACAACTATAAAACACGAGGCTGGCAGTGTCTCTTCCAGGTTGAGCGCATTCCTGAAACAGTGATTGTAAAGCACTTAGCCTGGGGCCTGGAATGTGGCAAGGCTGGTGGATAAGTTGTACCGGAGGTGAGCAAAACCAGTCGTAGGCCAGGAGGCTTTCCTGGGGATCTGAGGAATCCCCCCCCCACCCCCCCCCAGTCATTTCCTAGCTCCTCTCCAGCCTTTATGTTTACAGCCAGCAGAAGGCAAGGGAAGCCCGCCCACCTGCTTGCAGTCTGCCTTAGTTACCCTGGTGATGCTCACTTCCCCTCTGCCAGGCACCACCCTGAGCCACTTCTACCCCCCTTTTACCCCCATGTCTAAGGGGATAAACCCATGCAGGGCGGAGCTGAGAGAGAGGAAGGGCTGAGAGGAGGCAGCAGCTGGGGGCCCGGGAGGGAGAGACTCAGGCAACTGCCTGACCCCAGAGGGCTTGAGGACTTCAGACGTGGGCAGTGGGGCCTTCTGGGCAGGAGAAGCTGCTCCCCACAGCCGTGTGGCGCCCGACTGCCCGCCGCGGGCTCGCGCTGGGCGCTGTTCCTAGAGCGCTGCTGTGGCTGGCAAGCTGCTCTGCGTGCAGGACTCTTCCCCTGAGAGCAGAGACCTCGCTACACAGACCGGGGTCAGGGTCGTGCCTTCTCAGGGCCAGTCAGGGCGTGGGCCCCATGGGCCACCTGCTTCTAGTCTCCAAAACTCACCTGGTCTCTCTGCCAACTGACTCAGGATAAACCCCTGGGGCTTCTAGCTTCCCGCTGGGGTTGTGTGAGGTTGGCTTCACCCACCTGCTCAACCTGCGGGAGGGAAGAGGTGGGGCTTATCAAAGGACCCTCTGTATTTTTGCACTAGAGGGTGGGCGAGGTAAAAAACAGTCTAGAACAGTGGTCCCCCAAGTTTTGCCTGTCTTTGTATAGAATGAGGTTGATCCACGCCCACCAGGAACAGCAAGTCTGATCCCGCAGAGGAGCAGACCAGCCTCCCTTAGAGCGTGCATGTGCACCTCCTAGAGCACTCCCATAGTGACCTGGATATCTTTTCTCAGAATGGCATGCCCCACCCTCCCCCATTCTGAATCACTAGGCGGGCAGGAGAGAGTCCGGTGTAGTTCACAGCCTCCCTGATAGGTGTGAGTGGACACCAGGCTCCCTGACAGGTGTGCAAACATAGCATGCAGGTGCCTCATGGGCATTCACCTGGAAACCAAACACAAGTGTGTACATGCATGTGAGCTAGCCGGGGTAGGGGAGAAAGCCCTCCAGGGTCCTTTAGCTCATGGGCCATAGGAGGGCAGGCCGCGGCTGTCCCATCCATCCACCCCGGGCAGCCCGGTGAAGGTTCCCTCTGACTTCTGAGGTCTGCTGTGAACGCTGGTCACTGAGGTTCTCTCAGGGCTTGAGAGAGGGCTTTTCAGAGATGCAGACATGAGGTACAAAACTGCAGCAGTTCCGGGTCACCTGGACAGGCAGAGCACACAGTCCAGAGGGCGGGATGGATAAGCTCAGCGTTCTGGCTCATCCCTTCCCACATCCCCAGAGCTACCTGACCTGCTGAAGAAAGTAATAAGGACGATGTGCTTGCCCAGACGCTGCTGGACAGGGAGTCAGATGTGGGGAGCCTGTCACCACTGCCCATCCTCTGAAGGCTGCAGCTTCAGGGTCCAGGCAGTACTCCAGGGGCCTCCCTCGCCAGGGTGGCTTGGCAAGGAGAAGGCTGAGCCGAGTCACATCCAACCCTGTGCAGAGATGAAGCAACACACTCTGGCCTGGCAGAGCTTATTGACAGACAACTGTGGGATGTTCTTGGGTCACAGAGAGGGCGGACACGCAGCCTACTGAGCAGGGCTGGTTGTTATTGGTCTTCTCAGCCTGGGACAGTCCCACCCATGACACCCTCACTCCGTTCCTGGGGGATCACAGGCTGGAGGCCTGGATCAGCCCCTTCCTGGAGGCACAGGAGCGAGGTCCCAGCAGGCACACCTGGTCATGTGAGTGCTCGGCCTGCATGACCTCTCTGGCCCTCCAGCCCCGTGGTTCTCAGACTGAGGGTTTATGAAGGGTCGGCCTGTAAGAGTTTGGAGCCAGTGGAAGAAGAGGCAGGACACATGATGTTGGTGGGATGAGAGCAGCTGAGACCAGAGGGAAGGCAGAGGGAGGAAGACCTCCGATGAGGAAGTTAAGCAAGATGTGGGAAATGGGTCACCCACACCCTTTGTAGCCACCCTGGTCACATTGGGCCTCAGCATTAGGAGTTGGGGCAGGAATTGGAAATAGGATGAATGTGCCAGAAACCAAAGAAAACATGCCAAGTGCTGCAAGGGAGGGTGGGGACAAGGACAGACTCCAGGTGCATGAGGGTCTTGAGCCTGCATGCCCAAGCAAGCCCACCCCAGCCCCACCCTGCAGCTTCTCTGTGCCAACACCCCGCATGCACACACACACTCACACACTTTCACACTAACACTCGAAACCCGCTCTCAGACTCACACATGCTCACACTCTCACCCTCTGACATTCATCCATTCACACGCACACATACCACGCATGCTCAGACAGCTCACGGACACTCATCCTCTCACGTCCACTCATATGCACACTTGCTCACTCTTACAGATCTGCACACTTGAACACTCGTGCTCACGTTCATTCTCATACTGCAACACACTGCAATTCAATTACGCTCATGTGCTCTCCCTTCCTGGGGCTCTGTGCGTGGGTGGTCCAGGGCCCCAGCTCTGCCTAGCCCTGCCCAGCTTCCTGTCTCCTCCTCCTTTGGAGAAAGCTGCTCTCAGCCAGAGACGCCAGGCAACCTGCAGGCTGGGGAGGGGACTTAGCCCAGCCCTCAGGGTCTATCGGAGCCATTTGGGAAGCACTTAGCTTCACTTCCTTTTTCTCTCTCCTTTGGCGCCTGGAAAACCCCAAACATTCCCAGGAGGGAAAACAGGCCCTTTATTACCTCGTGGGCTCAGAACACTGCATCGCAGTAATTGAAAGTGGCTTGACTCAAATTGCATTTTCCGAGGAGCCCTGCTAGACGGGAGTGCTGGAAGGAGGGAGGGGAGAGAGTAGAGCGGAGCTGCAGGCTCCAGCCCGATACACACTCAGGAGAGACACCCAGAGGCAGGAGCTGTCTCCTGAGTTCTCCCCGGGGTTGTTGGCAACTCTGGGGCCCAAGGGCTACAACCCAGTAAGACCAGAACCTTGAACACCCCCTAGAGACGAACCCGAGCTCTGAGCAGGCAGCAGCCAGCACCAGCACCAGCCACCCTCCTACGGAGCTCTCCAATCCCAGGAGGGGCTTTGTTGTGTTCCCAGCGACTCACTGGGAAATCTCTGCCTCGCTGCCTCACAGCCTCACAGAAGGCAGGTATACATGTGCGTTGACTGAATGCTGGTTCACACCCTGAGGACCTCTGCTCCAGCCTCTCACTCTCTCTTCAATGCCTACCTGTTCCTTCAAAAAATCATTACAATACCAGCAAGATTTATGGAGCACACACCTATGTTCTGGTGGGAGCGAAGCACTTTACTCATTATCTCATAAAGTCTGCTCAGTACCCTTGTGGGGTAGGAATTAGTATCGTGGCCACATTACAGGGGGGAAACGAGGGCTCTGAGGAATGAAACCCACTGAGAGCAATTGGAGCTGGGCCTTGACAGAGTCAGATCCTTCACCCTCCCTGATTCTCGGCAGACCTGCCACAGCCGTGGTGACCCTCCCATGAGTGCCAGGGTAGGGGGCAGCCACTACAGCTCCACCCCAGCCATCAGAAGACGCATTTAAGAAGTTTCTGGAAGCTGGAAGTGGGACTGGTGTGGTTTAAAAAAGCCTCCTCAAAAATTCTGCCACTTTGATTTGTTGCTCGTCCTGACAGTTGTTTTGAAATTCCATTTGGTGTGGAACAGCAGACTAGCAAAAGGGGGCGAGGCCTGAAAGGGATGGGAAATGCTGCTTAGCACCACCTTGACAGGTGCTCCCCACTCGGCCCCAGTGCCCTGGGCCACCTGTGGCCACAGTGCCCCATTCATGGCAAATGCTCAGATAATGTTTGTTGGTTGAATTAATGAATGAAGGAGAGAGGTGAGGAAGGAGAGAGGAAGAAAGAGGAAGAGAGGGAGGGAGGAGAGAATGCAGGGAGTGGTGA